TACATTTAATAAAAATTGTATTTTGGGAACTTTTAGTGATGGTTTGCCGTACATGAAAGTCAGATTGGCTTCTTGTATTATAGTTGTGATATTGCGAAGTTTATTGAATTTTTTCTAATAGATCTGATACGATGGTACTGTCATTTTCATTTTATAAATAAGATATAATAAAAGTCAATTTATTTCTTTTAACATAGTTGCAATACTCTTCTTGTCTTTTATCAATATTATATCAATAGGCGAAGTAAGTATCCCAAATTTTTTACATGAGCAGGCTTAAGAAGTAAAGGGGCCAATTATTATTGGATAAATTGCTCGAACCAGTTTGTAAACCCTAATCAAAAGACGATATAGAATGGTTTTCAAAATCAAGGCTTTTGAAAATCATCACATGGTTTAACTTAAGTAATGCCAGTGCTTCACAAACCAAAAAAATCAACGTTCGGTCTTTCGTTCCAAGTTAAATCATTTCTCGTTTTTTTTTACGGTACGGGTTTACTCTTGTGGGCCTTAGTCTCGATAAGGAGGAAACCACCATTTTAGCGTCTCTCGAATTACATATTTAAAAATATAGTACAATAGTATTACAAACTAAGACGTCTCCAAATATATAAAACAGAGTCTTTAAGTATCTGCCACCCATAAACTCTTTAAAGGCAGGGAGTTACTAAGCGAAAAATGTGAGAAAAAGAGGACAAGGACTTATAACTTAATTAAAAAATTAATTAAGAATAGCAAAAATTAAGCGATAATTATGTGGCTCTATGTCTTATAGATAACGAATGGGTGCTTTATGGGTTGCGAGCTGTGGGGAATCCGATTCAAGGGATTTAAGTCCTCCAAAGCAAATGTTAGAGGCCCATTACTCGATCTAAAATATGGCCAATGTGGGCTAAACCAAAAGACAAATCCACCAGTTGTGGCTGGGTCCGTATTTGATCCTAAAAGTAAATATTCATTTTACTTTATCAATTCTGCTACTCTCAAGATGAATCAAAGACGTTTTAATAGTAAACAAGCCTATATGACCAGTAAAATTGATAGTGTCAAATCTTATTCTTATTCAATTCACTTCTTTCTTTTCTATTTCTATTTTTTTTATGAGGAATTCACTATTTTATGGCTCTTCTTTTTAACAATTTTATATGTCTACCTCTTTTTCGTGTAATTGTCCTGTTGAAGTAATAAGTTTGTCGGGATAGGTTAGTTTTAATAAGAAAAAATTATTCCTGTCCTTTCTTTTCATAATATATCAGGGGCGCATATATGGGGGGGTTATGGGGGTAATTCCACCCCCCTCCAAGAATGTTTAAACATAACTTTTTATAGATACTAAAACTGTATTGCACAAACTATTGAAAGACCAATTTCAGTATTTTTTGTTCAATCTGGCAGAAGCGCTTTTTTACTTTCGTCGGCTGTCCACGCCACTCAAAGCGCCTAACTTACGTTCCCACTCTACGTTGTACGTGCTTGTATCTCAGAATCTCACTCTATCTTCGAATAATATTGCTTATATAATTTTGTTTTTATTTTGATTTCTACTGGAAGTACTGGATACTGGATTACCAAAGTGATAGTGATACTAAAGTGATATACTGTGTTCATGTAAGAATTGTACTTCACAGGTATTTTTATGAAGTTTAGTAAATTAGATTTAAGTTTATATGATTATAATATCTAAAATTTACCATTGTTGCAAATTATTTTTGTTCTTGCACTTGCAGATACTAAACACAACAGAAATTAGCAATGAGTAAAAGAAAACAGAATACCTTAGATAATTATTTGTTAAAACCAAAACAAAATAGGGGAATAATAACCTCGGAAGTCGTGAATTTATCACCAGTCGGGGAATCCTCTGAGGAAGGGGGTTCGAGTAAGGGCAAAGAAACCGCTGAAACTAGCGCCGGTAGCAGCAGTGACCACAGGCCTCATTTAATATTTTACATGGTTATAAAAAATCGATAGACATTGCCCCTTTTGTCAATACATTTAAAAATTATATTGCGGGAAAAATATTCGGTTTTAATGTACTCTATGGTTACGCATCAAAATTTTACGTACCCGTTTTCAATTCACAGAAAAAATGATAAAGATATTAAATGCTTTTTATCAAAACGACATTTTGACACTTTTTCTTGGCTAACATATTCGCAAGGTCTAGAGGGTATATGTTGTAAATTTTGCGTTATTTTTTCAAAAGTGGGTGGTGAACATCCGTCAACTGAGTTGGGACGTCTTGTTACCACTCCACTAAATAAGTATTCCAAACTATTCGGAAAAGATGGCGATTTGATAATGCATGATAAATCGGTCTTTCATAATAAAGCTGTTACAGAGGGACATAATTTAATTAAAATTTATGAAAACCCAGAGATAGATGTAAGAAATACATTAGATCAAGACAGACAAAGGCAGATTTTAGAAAATAAATTCAGATTGAAACCCATTATCGAGTCAGTAATCTTTTTGGGATGACAAAATATTTCTTATAGAGGTCATAGAGATCGAGGATCTCTTGTCGTTTCCGAAGGTTCTTCTGAAGATGAGGATAGTCTTGTAAATAATGAAGGTAACTTTCGTGAAATAACTAAATTTAGAATAGAGAGTGGCGATGTTGTATTAAAAAAACATTTAGAAAACACTTCATCTCGTGCAACCTATATTAGTAGTTATACGCAAAATGAAATAATTGAATTCTGTGGTGAAGAGATTTTAGAAACCATTTTACAACGAGTAAATAAAAGTCAATTTTATAGTGTAATATTTGACGAAACCACGGACATAAGCCATAAGTCACAAATGTCAATATTCTTAAGATACTGTTACGAAAATTGTCTGTACGAAGATTTCGTAGGTTTTATTGATTGTCACGCAATGTTTGATGAGGACTCATTAAAACCGACAGTTAGTGGTAAAATTTTGGTTCAAATCTTATTTAATTTTATTAAAAAAATTAATTTAAATCCCGATAAGTGTATAGGAATTGGAACTGATACGTGCAACCTAATGCTTGGTGAACAAAAAGGAGCCGTTACTGTATTAAAAAAAAAAAAAAATAACTAATGCACTTAAAATTCCTTGTACCAGCCACTCATTAAATTTATCTATTCCAAAAAGCTCAAACGTTCAAGGTGTTAGAAATGCCGTTGGCGTTATATAAAGAGGTAAATGCATTTTTTAAAGATTCCGCAAAAAGAAATTTTCTTCTTAAGCCATAGTCAGCTTAAAAGTCTTTGTGAGACCAGATGGGTTGAACGTCACGAATCTGTGCTTCAGTTTCAAAGTACTATTCAAATCATTGTAGACCTTCTTGATATTATTTCCCACTGGAAAGATCGGGACGCCTCTTCAAAAGCAGAATGTTTAAAAAATGCTATAGGTTCTACCATTTTTATAGTTTCTTTATGCTCTCTGTCTGATATTTTAGCTTTGACTGTAAATTTATGTAAAATATTGCAAAAGAAGTCAATTGATAAACACTATGTTACTATGCTTACAAAAAATGTTATCACCATTTTAAAAGAAAGACGTTGAAATTCCAAAACTTATTTTAGGACCATTTTTACTTTAGTGTTAGATATTCATAAACAATTAGATTTAGAAATTATCAAACCATGAGTTGCTCGGAGACAAACGCATCGCCTTAATATATCTGCAGAAAATAACGAATCCTATTTTAGGCTTAGCATCTATATTCCTTTGTTAGATAATATATTGCAAGATCTCCAATTTCATTTTAACGAGGAATCTTTGAATACCTACGAGTTCAATATATTTTTCCTCCCATTTTCAATTCAAAAACGGATACTGAAATTAGTCAGTCGATTGAAGTAGTTTCGGAATATATAAGCAAATTTGAAAATAACCAAAACAGAGATTTAATACTTTTAAAATTAAAATCTGAATTCAGTATTTTGAAAAGCTTAAAAAAAGCGATACAGATGGTATCGGTTCATATTCGTCTTGCGATGAAAATATATTTCCTTTATTAAAAAATGCCTACAAGTTTTGGTCACTCTACCCGTTAGAGCTTCAGCTGAAAGAAGCTTCTCCTCTCTGCGGCGCCTTAAAACCTGGCTTCGTTCAACAATGGGTCAGGATAGATTAGTTGGGCTATCACTTCTGTTTATACACAGAGACATTCAAGTAAATGTAGACCATATTATAAATAGAATTGCAAATAATAAAAATAGACGACTTGATTTTACGTTATAATTTTTTTCATTTTATGTTTTCTGGTCATGCGAGTATGTTATACCCAAGAAAATATTTTTGTTTGTTTTTGTTATGTTTTCATTTATAAGTTTTCGTGTTATTAATGTGTTTAATATTTATTATGCATGTAAAAGTTGTTCTTTTTAAATTTACTTGTATTATATGTTTTTTGTTTGTTTTGTTTTTATATTATATCAGAAATAAAGTCAATATTTTCACTACCCCCCCCCCCCCCAAACTTAAACTTTGGATGCGCCACTGTAATAAATCAGCAGTTTCAGTAAAATTCTCTAACTCTTACCTATTTGACTCCAGACATAATATTTACATTAAAATTAAACAATAAATAATTATTTAATTAAATAATATAAGAAACTGTCACATGAAACCGATCAATAATAACTTTTAATTTATTTATCTTTTAAATTGATTACATCACCGATTTAAGAGATTTAAAATAATCGATGATTTTTCACGTAAAAATGGTGTCATACAATATTTTAAAACATAATTTACGTCTCTATCTGCCTATAGATAAACTTTGTTTTTCAAAAACACTTTTGTTTTTCTATATTGCCTATGAGAATTTTTTACTCTGTATATCTATTGATTGGATAGAGACTACAATAATATTGATTCAGTTAGTTCCAAAATATAAATGACGTCCTGATATTAATCTCTTTAAATTAATAGATATTTTAAAAAAAAATATTTGTGGTTTTTACAGATTATTTTAAATGTATTTGAAAACTTTTTAAACAATCGTTTTTCTTTTTAAGACATCTATGGAGATATGCTCGAACAATTTGATTCAGACGTATTCCACATGGGTGGCGATGAAGTTAAATTTACGTGTTGGGAACAAACACCCAGCATAACAAATTGGATGGCGCAAAAGGGGTGGAACAAAACAGAAGCAGATTTCGTTAAACTATGGAACTATTTCCAGACCAACGCTTTGGAAAGGTTATACAAAAAGGCCGGTAGAGAGATTCCAGCTATAATGTGGACCAGCCTTTTAACCACGGATGAATATTTGACGAGTTCGCTACCAAAAGAGAAATATATTATACAAGTTTGGACCACAGGGACTGACAATCAGATTAACCAATTGTTAGAAAATGGATACAAAATTATTCTCAGTAACTATGATGCTTTGTATATGGATTGTGGTTTTGGTGGATGGGTTACAGATGGAAACAATTGGTGTTCTCCTTATATTGGTTGGCAAAAAATTTACGAGAATAAACCCAGTAGAATAGCAGGTAAAAAAAATACAATGTTATTACCATGTTAAAAGTACAGAGTGTATCAACATGGACAATAAAACATGACTCAAATAAAAGTTGTAGAAAGATTAAAGCTATGTTCCAAAAATAACTACCAACATACAGGGTGAACCGATAAATGTGTGACTTAACAAAGTTATGTTATATAATAGGTTATATATTGGTGCTTCGGAATATGATCAGTGTAACAAAAAGGGTTTTTTTAACACTAAATATCTCAAAGTCAATAATTTCGAATACGAAAATGTGTCTGACCAAATATCCTTGAAATTGGTATTATTCCCATAGAAGGTAACCAAAACTCTGGAACCAGAATATATAGTCGACACTATGGGCTTGTATATAATGTAGGGTGTGTCTGCTTGATTTCTATCGAAAATGTATCTAATTCTTAACCCACAACGTGTAAGATCTAACATACAGACTACAACATGAGGTCACGTATGATCCCTTTTAAATTTAGGCATTAAATAATAAAATACGTCTGATTGTTATTAATTTATTTCATAAAATACATTAACAAATTCTTGGAGACTACATTTTTTTACAGAAAATCAAAAAACGTCAAAAATGTATGGCTTGCAATGCATATGTTTAGCACATATATTTCTTTTCAACTTACACATATATGGCGGCCCTTTGGGTCTCGTTTGCGTGGACAGATAGAACGTCTTCCTTTTCCACTACGATTATCTGTGGGTTGCTGAGCCTCATCAGGCATTCCAAGAAATTCACGGAGACTACAACGTAGGTTTTGGGGTAAATGTTCGTTTTGCACCCTTATTTTGATTTGGTCTTTTACTAGGGCCAACGCTAAATTTTTTAAAACTGTTCTTCTACTTTCTTTGATTTCAATTTTTTTGCAGTTTTGAAGAACAAAAGTATTTACACCACCGCTATCCAACATGCCGTAAAACAACCCAAGAGACCAGAGCCTTGTTTTCCTTGCTACAGTCTTTAAATGGCAGAGTTGGTCAAACGTATCAACTCCACCTTTTGTTTTATTGTAAAAAAAATTATTTCGGATTTTTGTGTAACATCATCTATGTCCGGTTGAAAATGCATTGTGCTTAGCAAAAGAACAAATTTGTTTTTTTCGGTACGACAGAAACCAGAGTCTTATTAGCTTCAAAAACAAATGCAGATGAAGGAATTTGCTGACGCTTGGTTTCTAAATATGCTGCAGGAATTTTTCTCTTATTTTTGCGTAAGGTACCGACCATTGTTAGTTTCTTTGTAAGTAGATTGGATAATCATTTTTCAAACAATTTACTATGTGATCCTATACAATTTAAATTCTATAAGAAATTGTATCAAATCTTGTACAGGAAATTGTAGAGTCAAAACAGTCTTAAGACGGATGCCCTACTCCACTAGTTCAAATGAAAACATTATATCTTAACCTAAAAATACTTACCAATAAAAGGATAGATTTCGATATAAATGATCTACCTTATTGAACACTACCGTAATCTGGGGTGAGATCGGACACATTTTAAAGGTTTTTTCTTAATAGCAAGAGGCTAGATTTTTGTAAAAATCTGAAAAAATTAATATAAGAACCTTAAACCTTCCTCTATCGAATACAGTATTTGTTTTTTGCATATTTCAAAAAATTCTATTTTTTTTTTTATTATTGAAAGGTGTCCGAACTCACCCCTATGGGTGGTCTAAGTTCGGATCACCTTTAATTTATAGAAAAATCCAAACTTAATTTATAGTAAGAGTGTGTTCGGACAAATATAATTAAATATACATATATACAGATTTCATAAAAAAAATTTCTTAGGGGGGATAGGGGGTCCAAACACAATTTCGGTACGAACAATTTTATTTAAAGTAATAAAAAAAATATTTTTCCAAAAAAACATAAAAACATTTAAAAACACGTAATAACTATGTTATTAACCAAGAACATAAACAATAAAACTAAAATAAGTTTCCAAAAAACATAAAAACATTTAAAAAAACACGTAATAACTATGTTATTAACAAAGAACATTGCAATAAACTCATTATTCTATTTTGATGTTGTCGGGAAGGTGCTTAATCTTTTTTAAACGCAAGTCCCTCATCAGAAATATCGGGAAATATAAAATAATTATTTTTTTCGCCTTTTATTCTAAGATATTTTACTAAAAAAAGCTCTTCCTTTATATCAACAATTTTATCTATAAGACCAACAAAATATCGAAATTGTTTTACAACGAAATCTCCCACTTCAATGAGATTTTGATCAACTTCTGATTCTCTCTCATAAGTGCTGGTAGAAGGTTGCTCAAATACAGACATTTCATTTTCGTCTTCATAAACGTTTTCTTCCACTTCTACGCAAATGTTTTCCACATCAATCTCCTCAAAAATGATATTTTCTTCTTGGGGAAGATCTTCTGTTCTCACACCTTTTCCAGGGGCAACATTCAGCTTTTTACCCCTCCTCGGTTTTTCGCTTTTTTCTTCCCATCTACAGTCTTTTAAATATTCGGAAAAACTTTCGCTCCAGTGATCATTAGCATTATCCTTTTCTGCTGTCTTTCCGGGCAACTTTTCCAAAACTATTTCAGCGTTTAATGGAACAATTCCACAAGCTCTAAAACTAGATTTGATATTTTTGTCGATATTCGGGCCCAAAGATTCTAAAGTTTTCTTTAAAAGACGAGGAAATTCTGATTTAGGCAGGACACCTTTATTTTTCTTTTTCCAATCAGTCAAGTTTGCACCCCAGTGTTTCTTCATGGGGCCAAAAAACGCAACATCCAGAGGTTGCAGCAAGTGGGTGGCATATGGGGGTAATAAAATGAAATGAATGTCGTTTTCTTCACATTGCTTAATCACAAACAATGACAAGTGACTGGAAAGATTGTCGCCAATTAACAACTTTCGCCCTTCTAACTTGCGGAAATATGGCAAAACCACTTGTAAAAACCAGTCTTCAAATATTGGTGTCTCAAACCACCCACTTTTTGATCTACTGTATACAGTGCCTTCTGGGCCCCCTTCTATCCAAGTTAGGTAAATATGAAGAGCTCGGTATACTACATACGGAGGCAGCAAAACACCTGAAGCACTAGCAGCCATCATAATTGACGTGCTGCTTTAAGAAGAATCAATAATTCTATTTATATGTTTGGATCCTTTTTTACCAACGACCTTTCATCTTCCAGGATCATCAGTTAAATTGGATTCATCATAATTAATTATGTTCTCTGGAGGAATAGGTCCCATAACAGCCTGAAGGTTATCAAAATATTCTTGAACTTTTTGCCTATCGACTTCTGCTCTACTCCTCTCGATATTTAGTGCAAGGCGCTCCGATAAAATTTTATGTCTAAACATGAATCCATAAAACCAATCTTCCCCGGGCATGTTGTCTTTAAATCCTGTGATTTTTGTTCCGGATCTGTCCAAATATGATTTGACGATTAGGCGAATATCCAGCCTAGTTAAGGGAAAGCCCCATTCGGCGGAAGTTAAAATTCCTTGTGTCAGTTCACTCTCTTGTTCTTGGCTTAATTTGGTTTGCCCGCCACTTTTTTTAGCGTGCTTACCTGTCATTTTGTCATTTATTGTCGATTTTGGTATGTTGTAGAACTCTGCTGCCTCCCTCAGGGTCTTCCTTTTAGTCCTGACATCTTCAACAGCCTTATTTAAAGCCTCTTTGGCATAGTTGGATCTTTGTTTTACGCCAAGAGGACGCCTGTAATTTCTGGGCATGGTGTCCGAACTCGCCCCACGAAAAGCTATATTTTTTCTATAACAAGAAAAAAAAATTCGGGAATGAAAAAATAAATGATAATTATTCATAAATCATTAGAAAACATATAAACCTACATTATATGAAAAATTACGATTCAATTGCTTACAGATCCCTTCCCCCAGATGTTTGTTTCTAACGTTATAAAAAATATGCAAATTACGACCCATATCAAAATATCCCGTACTTACCACAAACTTTCTCTAGCGGCAATTTCTACCTAACTGGAGTGAAATGAGACAATATTGGACATGTAGACACATGCAAAAAACTTCGCCAATGAAAAACGTGCTCGTGGTCACGTGATTTCCCACGCCGCGCACCATTGTCCGAACTCGTACTACCTGTCCGATCTCACCCTAGATTACGGTACACATGCATACCATAATTCTTTATATTTCTCACAAAAGTTCACAAAAATAGTATTTTATAAATTAATAAATCAACAAGTCACACAGAAACTATCAGAAACTGTCAGAATCACAAAATAGCTGTTAGACCCGATTGGCAACGTTGCGGCTGGTTACGGTAACTACATTTCATTCAAAAAATAGGTACTAGTTGTAAATTCGTAAAATAAGATATTCAGCGTTGCCGTATTTACGGAGTTTTTTGCAACCTTAATCAAATTTTATTTTTCGAAAGTAATTTCTCCAAATAATTTTTACATACTGATAAAACCGGCAAAGACGCAATAAACGAGAATCTGGTGGGAATAATTTTCCACATAAAAATGTAAACAATTTGGTCTCTTAGTTGTAATGTCTTTGGTTTACTTTAAGCTTTGGTGAGATGTCAATTACAGAGGACAGTTTAAAACAGTTGCGGCTCATGACCAAAATGTTGGGGATTCGTAATGACAGAATGTAGATCTCAGTATAGATGTAGGTAAATAACTTTTAGTGTTTTAGAAAGGTATAGGTATTAAAAGGTGTAATATACCGAAGACTCTGAAAGTTACAATATTACAGTACAATTTGTAAGATTTTGGACAAACTGTGAATTAAAATATTTTTATTTGTCTCTATATACTAATGTCTTGCTAAAACACTAAACAATTTAGCTCGCCGGTTTAAAAATAAAAATTTCGAGAACTTGGCAATTTTCAACTTTATACAGGGTGTCTGTAAAAGGTATTAACAAAAACATACCACATATTACTTAGACCAAAATAAGTCGATTTAAGTAAAATTATTTTAGTACAAAGTTGCTTCGTTTGGGCTCCAGAGGGCCTTGAAGTTACAATTTTTAAATCGTTTTTCCCATATAAATTTAAAACGGCATATGCGATTTTGCTGAAATTTGGTGTATTGGTATTGTGGCAAAAAAATGGTATTAAAATTTTGTCCGATAATAATACATAGGCGTAGAACTTGATTTTTTAAATAATTGCATCTTTAAAAATTCTACGCCCATGGAAGAAAAGGAGTTTGAGTATGAAATTTAGATTGCGCAACTCATTTACTTTAAAAAAGATACTCTTGATAAGACTCGATTACTCTCATGGTTTTCGCTAAATTTCTGTTTTAATAATTTAGAGTGTATAGGTTTCACAAAAATATTTATTTACAACATAATCA